ACAAAGAATTCTTCCTCAACTTCACCAAAATAAGGACACACAGTGTCATTTATGCAAAGCACCAGAAGCTATTGAAATGCTAATATCACCCCTTGTGGAGAATTTACAGCCTGTGAAATTTACATGAACGATCAAATATGTGAGTGAGTGAGTTACAAGCCAGGTCCATTAGGTACTTTGCATCAAAATATACTAGTGTTTCTCTTAACATAGTAGTAAAATACTACTCTGGAAATGTATTATTAGGTGGGGAATAACTAAAGTGGAAAGTCTGTCACAATCCGTCTTACACTCATCCTGGCATGATCATAATGTGGCAATGCATCAGTTTCATAGGGAAGTACACGGCGCAGTCTTCATTGATCTTGTAAATGTCAGCACTTCATCGGGTTTATCATGACACTGACCTGCTATATATATTGTTTTTAGACTGTTGTTGGGCTACAGTGAAAAAAAACAGACAAATTTAAAAAAGGTATTTGGTGATTCCAGCTGTGTATCCTCATATGTTCAGCATGCAGTGTGAATGGCAGGTCCTTTGGTCTGCTCCTCTGCTCTGTACAAGAGGGCTGAAGGACACAGACTGGCTCAGGTAATTAGCTCATTCTCTGAGCCTCTCCTTGCAGTATGCCATATTTTACATGCCACAGGGCCCTAGTCTCTACACAAATTGACCTTTCAATTACAGCCCCTGCTTGACCTCTACAACCCCTAGACAACCTCCAGCCCTTTTCATTTCTCTCGTCCATGTCTATCTGTGCATGTAGATCAGCAGAGGCCATGGAAGGGCTGCAGGGGGGAAATGAAAGAAGAAGAAGAAGAAGAGATATTATTAAGAAGATAGAGATTTAGAGTTGATGAAAGGCACTACAGTGAGGGTGGTAAAAAAGAGAAAGATGGAGAAAGTATAACAGAGTGAGAGAAAATGGTGAGGGGATAACCGAGAGCACAACAGAAACAGAGAAAGACAAAGGACTGAAGAGACACTGTAGAGAGAAAAAGAGACACTCTAAGCAAAAAAGGTTCCGTGACTTATAACAATAGCAGAACCCAGGTGCTATATAAAAAAGGTTCTGTAAATAACCATAAACAAGTTTTCCCATTATAAGGAAAACTCATTTAACCATGCAAAGAACCATTTACAGCTGTATGCAAACATTTTTAAAGTGCAAAAAACCAAACCTCCAGAGCAAATTATCTTAAAAAAAAATTGTTTCTCCACAAACGTTCATACAGCATTAGTTCATATTTAAGTAACTAAATATAAAATAGCAATAGTGGCTTGTGCAAAAGCTTGGACACCTGGTTGTAAAGTCTCTGCTAACTGACTCATTAGTACTAGCTAGGCAGGTCAAGAACTGTCATTACGAACTTTCAACTGATGACAATTCCAGAGCATAATGATCTCCATGACACTTCAAAACCCTGAGCTAGCGCTCAACAACATGGGTGCACCATTCTTCTGAGTAATGTTGCTTACACAATCATTATCTGCATGGAAAAGTCATCAGAATGGAAACCTTACCTGCAACCTCACCACAAAAGTCAACATCTGAAGTGCATCCAGATAAGCTAGAGGCACTTTGGAAACAAGTATGATGTTCACAACACCAACTTTTGATAAAGTAAAAGTGGAGCTCTTTGGCTGCAACTGGTAAAGATGTGTTTGGAGGAAAAAATTAGTAGCATTTGATGAAAAGAACACCCTGATAACTGTTAAGCATGGGGATGGATCTATTATGCTTTGCAGCCAGAGGCACACAAAATATTGTATAGGTAGGAGAAAGAATCGATCAGCAAATTCTGTAAGCAAATGTGACACATTCATTCAAGAGACTGAAACTGAAAAGTGGCTCGCTGCTACAACAGGACAATCCAAAACACACCTCAAAATTCACAATGAACTATTTCAAGAAATGCAAGCTGAAGCTTTTGGAAAGGCCCCTGACTTGAACATCAAAGAAAATCTGTGGGTAGATCTTAAACATGCTGTGCATGACAGTCCAAGAATACTGCCGAACTACAAACATTCTGCAAGGTAGAGTATGTGACAAATCCTACAACAAGAAAAAAGGCTCCTAGCTGGCTATAAAAAACATTAGCAAGCTGTGATATCTGTCAAAGGGTGTTACTAAGCAATAGGGGTGCAGGAAAAAATAGATTCTTAGATGCATCGTGATGCGGGCGTGAACGATTCTGAATCGATTCACAAATGTCAAAAATCGATTTTCTAAATATTTAATTTATAACGTAATGTTGACGGAACGTAAAAGGCAGAACTTAGAAGTGGGTAAGTGCAGCGCCCGGACAGTCTCTGGTGGCACATAACAAAAACACAACTGAATGAGTGAGAAATCTGACCGGCTTCCTCTGCATTAAAAGCAAGGTTAGGTCAGGAGTCACGACACAAATGTTAAGAAGAGCCATTTTGTCCTTTCAACAAAAATCAAACCAGCTTGGGAGCCACAACATTTAATGTCCAGTATGTATTAATGTCCTAGTATAGCTAAACAATATAAACGAAAGCGCAGATTTACTTTACTCTGCTTTAGACTTCAGCTGCTTTCCTCCCCTTTCCCTCAGGAAACTTTTCCTCAAAAGTTCAATCGTTTCTTCTAAAATGTCTCTCATCGTTCGACTGATTTACGGGGCTGAAGTCACTTCTCATTCTCCAGCTTCTGGTTCAAATTTTCCCGTTCCACCTTAAATTCTGAATGAGGCGCCGAATGTAACCTAAATGCGGCACCATTTAAGGTGGAACAGGAAAATTCGAAAGAGAAGCGAGTTCATCTTCGCAACTTTTTAGTGTTTGACCGTCTGTCGCTACAGATTTAACGTACCAGGTAACCAAATGCGCTGCTTATAAATGCGAATAACGCATCATTGCTATGTGACCTGCAGTCTGCACGTTGCAAAACAGGGCTACCACTGGATCTTATTTCACCGTAACTGCGCATTTCATCGCAGATGAGTGGCAGCAGCGTCTCATGTGCTCTGAACAAGAGCAGTGAATGAGCCTTCCAGTTCACTTGCCACATCACTTCCATTTGATTTATTAATAAAAGATATTGCAAGTAAATTCATTATAGATCATTACAAATACTTTGTTTTAAAAGTACCAAGTCCTCAGACAGTGAGACAGTGCATCGATAATCATTTTATAATCGCATCAGAGCCCTCTGAACCGTAATCGAATCGAATTGTGAGGTGCCTAGAGATTCCCACCCCTACTAAGCAATGACTTAGCAAGGTGTCCAAAGTTTTGCATTTGCCACAGTTACTTAAGTTCAACAAATATGAAGTAAGTATGTACACCGATCAGGCATAACATTATGACCACCTCCTTGTTTCTATGCTCCTTGTCCATTTTATCAGCTCCACTTACTATATAGGAGCACTTTGTAGTTCTACAATTACAGACTGTAGTCCATCTGTTGCTCTGCATACTTTGTTAGCCCCCTTTTACCATGTTCTTCAGTGGTCAGGACCCCTATGGACCCCCACAGAGCAGGTACTATTTGGGTGGTGGATCATTCTAAGCACTGCAGTAACACTGACGTGGTGGTGGTGTGTTAGTGTGTGTAGAGCTGGTCTGAGTGGATCAGACACAGCAGTGCTGCTGGAGTTTTTAAACACCTCACTGTCACTGCAGGACTGAGAATCGTCCACCAACCAAAAATATCCAGCCAACAGCGGCCTGGGACCACTGATGAAGGACTAGAGGACGACCAACACAAACTGTGCAGCAGCAGATGAGCTATCGTCTCTGACTTTACACCTACAAGGTGGACTGACAAGGTAGAAGTGTCTAATAGAGTGGACAGTGAGTGGACACAGTGTTTAAAAACTCCAGCAGCACTGCTGTGTCTGATCCACTCGTACCAGCACAACACACACTAACACACCACCACCACGTCAGTGTTACTGCAGTGCTGAGAATGATCCACCACCCAAATAGTACCTGCTCTGTGAGGGTCCATGGGGGTCCTGACCACTGAAGAACAGGGTAAAAGGGGGCTAACAAAGTGCAGAGAAACAGATGGACTACAGTCTGTAATTGTAGAACTACAAAGTGCACCTATATAGTAAGTGGAGCAGATAAAATGGACAACGAGCATAGAAACAAGGAGGTGGTCATAACATTATGCCTGATTGGTGTATAACATTTGCAGAAAAATGGTTACTTTAAAAATCAACAAAGTATGTCATGTGACCAGGGGTTCCCACACTTTTGCATACAACTGTATGCAATCAAATACTTCTTTGAGTTGTCACAGTTGTATATATAACCACTGCCTTTACTAAACAATAACTGAAGGACCATTTTTTTTAGGAGTGTAGGGAAACAGAAACAGAGACAGAGAAGGAGAGTTAAAGAAATTAATAAGACAAATTTACATAACAGACAAACATACAGATAGATTAAGAATGAGGAATACAGAGACAGAGAAACAGAAAAAGACAAGGAAGAGAGAAAGTGTGTAGGGGGGAGAAATTAAGATGCACTTTAACACAGAGAGTGAGACTAAGAGAGGTAAAGGGAAAGTAAGGGAGACAGAAACAGAGAAGAGAGAGAGAGAGACAGAGGGAGAGAGAGAGAGCGCGTCTTCGCCTCTATATAAAACCAAAACATCACAGTAGTCAATCAATTCATCCATCTGAGTGGCAGGTGGCTTTCTCACCCATCAGATCTAGTGGCATCCACCTCTCGGCATGGTATATCACCTGTCAGAATCCTAATGTCAAGTCAATACTCAGACTGCAGAGTTTTCTCTGGAAGTGCAGAGCAATTCTGATCAAGACCTTAATGTCTGACTTTTCATTTGGCCTCAGATTCAGGTCAGCATTAATGCTCAAGTCAATAGTGTTGTTTAAAATGCATGAGGGCTGAAGAATAATGCTTATTGATGCATAAATGCTAACTCTAGCTAAATGCTGAGACGCAGAGTGCTCTGAAACAGGGTCAAGAATGGTGTTGACATTCTCCTGATAAGACTTACTGGGGTTGGGGGGAAACAGGGTGCAGCTCTTGCAGTGAATGATCTCCTTCACGATGGGCAAATCCTGGGAGATAGACGGGGGTACAATGCCCAGGCCGGGCATCATGGGATTCATTGGAGCAATACCTGTCATCAGACCAAGACTGGGGTCAAAATCTGCAGGAAGGAGACAAAGAAAACAGAAATTTTATTGCTAGATAAAACATGCCAGGTATTGGCATGTACACAGCACAATGTGACCAAATTTTTGTATATTCTTAGTTAAAGGCTCTGTAGCTTTTGCAGAGTGGAGACAAACAGCACAATAGCGTTCTTATATAGGCTCGGCACTAGACCACAGCTGTACTTCCAGCAGGAGGCTTTTTGATATGGAAATGACACTGCCCTCTCCGTCCACTCTGTCATGCACCTGTGGAGAGAGGGAAGTTGAAAGTGTGTCCAGCACTGGTGTCTGTACTCACCAGAAATATGTCTTTTGTCTGAACCAGCCAGTTCATTTTGATTCAACTTTGAACTAAATAAGAACAGCCAAAAGTTGCCTCTGTGTGAGTGACTGTATTTGCCTTTGTGAGAACTCGATTTGACAGAGGCTCAGCAGAATCTCTCTTTCTAAGATCAGAAAATGAACAGAGAGAGACAGAGTTAACACCCAATTTTTCCCATGTTTGTAGATTTCCAAGGTGTTAAAACTCACACAGCCCATATTCTATTGGTCTAGGCTTAAGCTGACTGACAATAGTATCAGGAATCACAGACAGATTTGCATCTATCATGATCAGGTTATCAAGTCAGACAATTTAAATGTCAGAAAACGCATTATCCATGGCTTTAAAATGCACGAAAGGAAAGCATAGGTGACTCCTAATCTGTGTTTTCTTTTAATGCGTGATCCATGTCCTGTATCAATGCTGATACACTGTCTGGCTTCAAAGCGTTCTATAGCAGTGCACGGCAGCATTTTTTCTTTTCTTTTTCGTTTTTTTATTGTGGTTGTGCTGTGCTAAACAGATACGGCCGCGCTGCTGCCTTCCACGCTCAGAACATCTTTCTTCATAAAACATGAACTTTGGCTTAAGTGACTGACACTGTGGTTCCATCAGAGTACTCAAAAATAAACAAACAAAAAAAATCATATATCCCAGTCAAGGTACCCCAGTACATCTTAGTACAAAAGCAATGTATTAAATAAATATTCATGAAACTCATAAGCACAGCTACAGATCAGAATGTGAAAACAGGAAAGTGTAATGATACTACATTAAAATAAAACAGAAAAAAGATAAACAGCACAAGGATTAAAATATAGCAAAAGGAAACAAAAAATATATTATTATTATTATTATTATTATTATTATTAATAATAATAATAATAATAATAACAATAATAATAATAAATGTCAATAGTAGGTTTGTGTACCAGCAGTCTATAGGCTAACTTAACACAGAAATCCATTATATTTTAGCATTTTATCAACACAATTCATAGGCTGATGTGATTTTACCAAATCACACCAAAGTTAAAACACAAGCATGTTTATGTTCTCTGATTTGAGCAAGGTTCACTGTGGCATTACTTCATTACTTGCCATATGTGCTGAAGACAAGCTCAAACATCTGGAAACAGCTTTTGCCTGCCTGCCCATATTGCACATGATCTCAAAAGCCTACATTGGTCATAGTGCCTAGTCAGCAGCAGCAGTCAAACCCAATCATAACCAGCCTATAACTGAGCCTTCACCGGCACTCAGGAAACAACAAATGAAAGATTAAAAAGGGCTACATATTACAAGGGAAGTGTTCAAAGTGACTTGACATAAAAGGTGAGTTTAAATTCTATTTGCACACATCCCATAAGACACATCTCTAGGACAAGGTGCTTTCAGATGATCCAACAGTTCCTGAACAGACAGGCAGCTTCAAATGAGCCTCAGCAGGCCCACTGTATTACATTACACACTTTAATCCATTGTCAGGAAACTCCACTAGAGGACAATAACGAGAACCTAGATGGGCAAGACCAAACACTAACCACATCACATTACGTCGTGACTGCTTTCTTACAGAGGCGTGGCAGAGCCAAAACAGACAAACAGTCTTGCAGAGACAAAGAACACCAGACTTGGAGGAAAAAAAGACAACAGACAGAGCTGAACAGACAGACGAGGGATATGCAGGTGGCAGCCATCCCTTCCAACAGCACCATTAGCAGGTTTTGGGACAGGAGGTGCAGCATGATCAAACAGAGGCTGGGAAGCAGAAAGTCCCTCCGTCTGGCTTACTGATTGCATTACCGTGGGCGTTCACGTCCCACACCCACTAATGGAGGCGGGTGATAAGTTGCAACCCAGACGTCCGGGTGATGACTTCTCTCTGTAGAACTCTCTGAATGAGAGGAGGTCTGATAGCAGGTGAGGAGACAGGGCACAATGTTGGTTAAGCTGCTACAGTCTGTGCTGAATGCCAATGGCCAATGACCTGGCTCCACTGCCCCTGCTGCGAGCTCTGAGCCAGCAGTGCTAATTCGGCAGCACTTAATCACCCAGCATTATTCAGAAACACAGAGCGAGTCGCTGAAACAGAAGGCCGACTTGAAAGGGGAGATTTCATCTAAGCCTGCTCAACACAGCAGGGGAAATGTGAGCACCGAATAATCCCCATTTCCAAATCGAAAAAACAAGCGATTCTACCTTGTAGTAACAGCTGAAGTAGGTAGCTCAATGGCAACTGCCTAACATCCTGAGGTTTGCTGGCTTGATTCTACATGGGTACAAGCCCACTGTATACCAACACTGAACCTCAAGTTGCTCCAGGGGTGCAGCCCTTAATCATCTTAACCCCTTCATGGTCTAAGAGATGCAAGTTAGAATCATTGGTCATACTTTATACAAAATATTATATAGTGTAGATATAAATATTAAAAATAATTTTAATTTCAATGTTTTGTTCCATATTTAATGTATTTGAAAACCACAATAAGGTTTTAAATGATAAATAATATGCTACAATTATCTATTTGTACTAGCTTTTGCCAAGTTACCAGACTTGTCACTTTTGAAATACAACATTTACATGTATAAATGTTATTATTATTATTATTATCTGTGAATACTTATTCATTTGGTAATGTTTTGTTTTATAGTCTCTTCTCCAAAAAAGGTGTCAACGCACCAGTTAATACTTTGTAATACTTTGGTTACCAATCAAACAAATGCATAAACCCACCAGACGTTAACGGTGTTACATGCAATCTGTGCGGAATATAGTTACCATTATACATTATTATGTAATATTAGCAGCTAGCACAGTTATTAATTATATGGTAATTATACTATAATCAGAGATAAGGCAAGCTATAGGGTAAGGCTCAGGAGCGTTCATGTGGTATTCCATAACTGGATTTTGGTCACAATAGTATTGTACAATGTGATAATTCCGCAGACGATAAGCTGACGGTCTAATACATCTTGGTATAATAGGGGCACACACACAAACAGTCTAACTAAATTACGCTAAATTATCTAACAGGTTCTGGCTATTATTTTGAAAAAGGACAAAGTAAAATATCTCATCAGTCACTTGGAAATGGGGAAAAAAACAAAAACAAAACATAACATAACATTTCCACACTTCTGAACAGTGATTCCAAGCTTCAAAAGCCATGTGTGTTTGAAATACACCTTCCCTGGTAAAAAAAAGAGGATAAAAACAACCATGATGAGGGAGTAAGGTTCATAACAGCAGGTGACGGATCACACACAGGGTGATATGCGGCAGCAGTAGCACAGTCAATGTGAGCACAGTGCAGAGAGGTGCTGCATTATTTTCAGCTCATCACTCATCAGTGCTTCCAGCAAGTGGGAAGGCAGCAGAAAGCGGGCCTATCAGAGCCCAGATCAGCTCTGAGGCTCTGAGATACTGGCTGACCCAGAGCTTGAAGGATTCCAGGTAGACTGTCACACGTAACCAGTGCACATATAATAATGGAGGTCAGAGACCTCTAAAAGTTGTCTTTACATCAAGAGCATCTCTATGCATGCATATTGTCATAATCAGAGTATGCATACATGCCTCTTTTACAGGGTTTGTTATTTCAGCTCATATCACAGACATTTACTGCTTTCTAGTACATTATGTTGCATTGCAGTAGCAGCCAGTTACAACTGTCCATTTTCTTAGATAGTGGAATGTCATGCGGTGGTTAGAAACCACATAAGCAAGTCTATTTAAGATTACTTAATAACTTGACACTAGAGCTTTAATTAGTTCTGATGGTTTTGGTCTGAAGTGGAATACAGCTAGAGAACTTTCTATCTGAGCATACTAGTTACTAATTACTTCTCTCAAAATGTAATGGGATTTCTTTACTTATTTTTAACTTAGTCCTGCAAAAAAGTAATCTCATTATACTTCTAATGTAAATGCCTCTTGTACCACCTGAACAAGAGACAATCCAGTGGTCATTTTCAGTCATTTATTAAAAAAATAGTCAGTCAATCACAGTAAATACAATTTAAAATACACGTCAGTATCCAAGCCTTTTATGCTGATTAAAATCATGAATAGCTGATGCTGCGTAAAAATCGAGAAACTAGCCACTGTTAAAAAACAGCTGCTGCAAAGTATGCTCGTCATGGTCTGTTTAGGTGAGCTTGGGGCTCTCTCTTCTGCAGCATGAAGATCTTTAACCACCAGTTTCATATTAGTATGATTAGATGTTTTGACAGATGGTTCACAGACTTTATAGAGCTTCCTGCACTCATGCTGCTTGCATTCACAATCAGAGTTCCGCAGTCAGTCGATGCAGGAAGTACAAATTATGTACACAGACAGACATAGATAACACATGTAAAGAAGACATTTATTATTTAAATGCTTTGCACAGTGTCACCCCAACACTGGACTCTACACATCGGATTGCTTTTTTTCCAAGTTCGAACGCAAACTGAGCCTGACCCTGACCCAAAACACATCAGGTTGTTTGATCCAAGTCTCAGCTGCCTAATTTTTCTCATACTGTACTGATATAGAGAGATAGCTTCTGTTTTTGTTTATATAAAAGATGCGACATACAGCACACTGAACATACAACATAAAAATATTTTGGGCAAACAAATATAAATGTCCTTTTGGCTGCATTGAGCTGTTCTCCACTGAAT